GGGGGGGTCCAAACTGAGACACAAAGACTTCACTGATCTGCTGCTTTGTGACTTTTTACCTGCCTGAAGTCAAAAACATGAAAACTGAAGCAGCAGCAGGTGAAAATATTTGAAACTAAAATGTGACGATGGACTCCGATCACATGATGGAAATCTGAAACTAAACTGTTTTTTTTTTAAATAAAAGGAGCAGGAAAAGTAAATATTAGCTGGTAAAACAATAAAAACAAACCAGTTTGTTCAAATCAAGCTGAGCGCCGAACAACAGCCGAAACGTTAAAGACTGAACACTTTAAACAAGAGAAACAAGAAAAAAATCAGCTAAACTGCAGCTAAAAGCTACAATTAGCAAAACAGTAACGAAACATTAAAAGTAGGGAACAGTAACAAGATGTGCAGAAATGCAAAACTGTAAGTAAACTTTAATATTAACACAGCAGGTAAAAGCTAACTGGAGCAAAATTGTAAAATTAGCAACAAGGTCATAAATTATAGCTTAAAACTAGAATTTGGCTAAAATTTTGAAAACAGTAACCAAAAGGTAAATGTTAAAAAAACAGCAGCTAAAAGCTAAATGCAGAAAAATGGTAAATATGTTCTAAAATGAGCAAAACTGTAAAAGTTCTAATTAGCACAGTAGGTAAAAGCTACGTAGCAAAAAAAACAGTTAAACGCTAACTGTAACAAAATAGTAGATAAATGCTAAAATTAGCTAAATTATAACTAATAGTTAAAATAAGCAAAAAAGTAGCTAGAAGCTAGATTTTGCACATCTGCAGCTGAACTTAGCAAGACAGCAGCTAAAACAGAAGCATAGCATGGAGACAAAAACAACCAGCAGCTGAAGTACATTTACTTCATCACAGTACTTTAGTGATTTATTTGAGAGTTTCTAATTTTACCAAGTATTTTTTTTCAAATTGTTACTTTTACTTTTATTTCGTTACAATTAAAGCCTAAAAATGACACTTTTACTTCTTTAAGATTTAACATCCAGTTACTCGTTACAAATGAAATATATCTGAACTCACATGAGGCGTTTCTGCACTCTAAAATCATGACGTGTTGAATTTACTCAACCAAGTCATGTCAGCTGGTTCCTCTGAAACTAGTAAAGTATGAGTAATATTTCCTTTAAAAGAAAATGTGTATGTTGCTCAATTTACTCAACTTGGTTTTAGTGGAACCAGTTTGGTTCAGAAAATTCTACAGTTTATTTCCTGGAGTGTGTAAAAATACTTTTACTTTCTCGATTTTTGTGAGCAGTTTTGTGACTTTTACTTAAGTACTTTTCTTATCAGTGAAACTTATTTTTATCAAAGTCATTTTCCATTCAGGTATTTTTACTTTTACTTATTTTTAAATAATTTGATAACTGATCAAAAAGAAAAATAAGCAGGTCCTCTGGACGGTTTCTTCTTTTAATGAAACGTTTCGTCTCTCCTCAGTAAAACAATAAACCGTCCAGAGGACCTGCTTATGTTTCTTTTTCTACCTGGATTACTGAGAAGCAGCAGGACACTTTGATAATTGGTTAAAACAGAACAAAGTATGTAAAAGTAAAGAAAATTAAATCAATTTGTTTTCAAATTATTCTAAAAGTTCTGATTCAAAGTCTGAAAATGTGCAGTTTTTTTCAGAGTTCCTCTCCTCCACTTTAAGAACCGACCCTGATAAATCCCCTTAAAGTTACAGTGAAGTTTACAAAGAACGCTGAAAACAATGATTTGTAAAAAGTTAACCTGAAATGGGGGGAGAGCCGATAAGACCCCCACCCCCCCACCCCCCGGCTGTGTGCACACAGACAGCAGGCCCGGACCCTCCGTGTTTACACAACCTGTTCTTAGAATGCATC